AAATTTATAAATATTCCTGGTCAAATATCTGAAGTTTTCTGATTGATAAGCATTATAACAATCACAGTTATAGCTTTCGAACTTTATAGCACAGTGACTATAGCGAACTAATAATGAATACTCTCCTTTTATGTCCGTGTGGAGGCGTTCTAGAAATTTCAGTTCCACGCAACAATAGTGAGCTACATTTAAGCATTTACGTACATACATATATTGTAGATTCTTACTCTCGAGAATCTTCTACAACTTTGGAGAATAGGCGGAAGTTTCGCAATACATATTTAACAGTATAAGCTATGTATGTTTCTAAATAGAAATTTAATCTAAACAAACGTTGATATTAAAATAAATATTTAATAACAACTTCGTTACACTTTGGAAAACTTTGCATGACAGGGTGATGAGGTCCATTCTCAATTATGAAACGCTGTTCCGCTGCCCTTGGTTGTTTTAACCCAGGTGGATAGTTACCCCTGTCTCACATGTCGGCGCCAACTTCCAATTCCACAGGCAGTCCAGTTGGTTCTGCAGTTTCCATATACATTTGTGCAGAAGTGATGGGAATATCTGCTATCTTTACAGTGTTCACAGGCAATGCAGAAGTGGTGGGAATATCTGCTATCTTTACAGTGTTCACAGGCAATGCAGAAGTGGTGGGAGATATGCTACCTTTACACTGTCCACAGGCAGTCCAGTTGTTCCTGCAGTTTCCATATGAAGTTGTGCAGAAGTGGAAGGAGTATCTTCTACCTCCACAGTGTCCACAGGCAGTCCAGATATAGTAGTTGGTTTTGGTACCAAAAATAAAGTCAATTTAGGAAAATTTTCAAGCTTTGCCGTTTTTTCTGCAGCCTTCTTCCTTTTCTGTGCTCCACTAAGATGTACACGCATCATCTTAAAATTATAAATCCAATAAATTTATAGAAATAAAATTATGTAATAAATAAAATTAAATATCATTCAATTGAAAGAATCTCAAACCAACACAATTTTTTAATGCATCATAACCTACAGAAATCATAGTTTATTTATATTTTGAGTATTATTCGGAAAACATCTTTTATTCTGAACTTAGATACAATAAATGCATAGTATTTATTATATATTAAATATTTTTTATAATAAAAGGACAGGGGTTAGGAGGCCTCCTGTCACTGGAGGCTGGGTGCAGCTGTAACCTCTTTACCATTCTAGTTATGCCCCTGTCCCAGATGATATTATTGTTACAACTACAATATGGAAATGAAAGTATGGTATTCAAACATAAGGTCTAACACAAATAAAACATTAGAAACTACGATGATAAAACAAGTTTATGGAAAAACAGGATATTTAAATAAAACTAATAAAATCAAAAGAGTATTGTGACGACAGTGGAAGCCGTTAATGAAGTTACTACCACTGATGTGACTCTTACCGATAATGGGG